AGCTGTGGAAGCACAGGCCTGCTACAGCCTTGGGAACACATACACTTTGCTTCAAGACTATGAAAAAGCAATTGATTATCATTTGAAACACCTTGTGATTGCTCAGGAATTAAATGACAAGTAAGCCCTAAGAGATTGTTTAATGTGTGCGTGACATACCAAATCCTGTTAGCTCTTACCTCTGCTGTCACTGTTCTTTTAAGACAGCTGAAGTAATGTGTTTTCCCTGCTATGCTGGGCTCCAGTTTTCATTTGGAAAAAAATATTTACTCGTGGAGGTATTGCAGCTAATGAGTCTGAGGTGAAAGACGGAAGCAATGAATGACTGACTCCACATCATCATCTTCTGTCAGCATCTCCTTTTGTAAATTAAGGAGAAGAAAAGCAGCTCTCTTTTTCATGACTTCATTGTAATAGTTTTGCATACCTTCACAAGAATACACCTCCTGCTTTTCCACAGATTAAAAATATGGGAAGGGATGAGGAAAGGAGAATAATACAGTAGCAACTAGTGCTTATTTTATAATCATAATTTATAATGCCTTTTTTGTGATGTTGGGTGCACGTAAAATTTTTTGCAACATTTAAATGTACTTCTAACTCAATAAACAGTATGTGAAGAATAATAAGGCATGCAATCTGAGGAAAAGCAAAGTAGGTTGTAAAATGTTTCATGCTTGCAGAATTGAATTAATTATATTTCCTGTGAGCTTAAAAATTAGTATTGTTATTAGATTTGCTCATATTTATGGTTATACCTAGATCACATTCCTTTAAACACAAAAACTTCTTGGTGTTCGAAGACGATAGCCTTAATTTTTGGCACAGCAATCTTATTTTGGCAATATTATGGAAACCTGACCCCTAGTGTTCAGCAAGGAATGGTATAATTGAAAGTTTTAATTTTTTTCTGCAGAATTGGTGAAGGAAGAGCATGCTGGAGTTTAGGGAATGCTTACACTGCCCTGGGAAATCACGACCAAGCTATGCATTTTGCAGAAAGGCACTTGGAAATCTCACGAGAGGTATGAGTTTCATGTTGCCTGTAAGTTGGTAGTTTTGCTCTCACACAGTGATTTTTTTGGAGCTGATCCATGCATGTGACTTTAAATAATGAACTGGATTTTGACTGATTTCTGAGATATTTGATTCCAAATTATTTCAGCCCTATCTCCCTTAGTTCTAGTGCCACATTTGACAGCATCATGATGGAATCCAAGATAACAGCCTAGCAGAGGTGTTCTAGGCTTTATGTACCTTTTAGTTGTCATTTTTTTCATTAAAGGATGACTCAGGTTTTTCAACCAGGAAAACTTTTTCAGCCTTTTTCTCTCAGAACTCTAGGGGACAAGGTTAGCTTTCTATTTACATATGTGTATACTTTATTACAATAATAGAACTACTTATTTTTTTTTGTTTTCAGGTAGGAGATAAAAGTGGAGAACTCACTGCGAGACTTAATCTCTCAGATCTTCAAATGGTTCTTGGATTAAGCTACAGCACAAACAACTCCATGATGGCAGAAAGCCATGCAGTAGATACCAGTCTGAATGGTAAATACATGCCTATTTCTGCAGTACTTGCTAACAGTGAACTTAAACAATCTGTTGTTTTCTGATTACAGAGGGTTGAGTTGAGCAGGCTGTGGGTTTGTTTCCCTTACTCCCCTCTCCCCCCCCCCGCCAAAAAGAAAAATAAGTTGTTTCTGCATTATTGGACCCCTTCAGCTCCTCCTTTTTCAGGGGTTACAGTAGAAATGAATTCTGGTCAGAGACCCATCATCCTTCTCCTGTGTCCCATGAAAGCAACTTAAGTAGCTTATAGCAGTGTGGTTCTGAAAGCTGCTTTTATTAGTGGTTATTTATTCCCTGCTGATATATTTACCTGCATTGTTTTGGAACTCAGAATTGCTGTATCCTGCACCATAAATGAGTACAGCCACAGCTTTGAAGGTGACACTATAAATCTTAATGATGCAAAGATGAACTTGATTCTTTCTCGAAGGTACCAGACCAAGAGTAGGACGCCGTCACAGTATGGAGAACATGGAACTTATGAAATTAACTCCAGAAAAGGTTGGCGCGTCCCTTGTTTCTGATCTGCTGGTGAGATTGCAGTGATTTCAGCAGTTATCAATAGTCATAAATTTTTTACTTAACAACTTCGAAAGAAGTCAGCAGAATGTTAAGTCATTTGCCATATCCTTTTTAATTTAGCTCTTTTTAGGTGTTAAGTAAAAGCAGGTCTAACAAATAATACTTTTGCAACGTGGGCAACAGCCAGCATCTTGCATATGTTGGTTGGAATGGCTTGTGGAAGCTTGCTTTATTTCCTTCACAGGAAAGAATCAATGAGGTCCTGAAGTGGTGCATCAAAGCATGCTCTTTCATCCTTTCCTTAAAAGTGGCTTGAGATTGCAGCATGCAAGTGATTCAGCATAAAATGCCTAAGCTTTAGCTCAGATCTTCTGAACATTTTTTCTTTGGGTACAGTCATAGGCACTTAAAACACATGTGTTTTTCACTTTGGGATTTAAACCAACTTGCAAACCATTAGGAGTTTCAATGTCTATCCTGAGAAAGGACGCTATTTCAGAAATGATGAAACAGAGTCACAGATCAGTAAACTAACTTTTCCCCAAGCTCAAGAGAAATCTCTAGGAGCTCCTGATTAAAACCCTTTTGTCAGTCTTCAAGAGATGTTCTTCAAATGCCGTCTGCCTTCAAGTGGTAGGTTGGCAGTTCTCCATAAATGACTCCAGTGGCAGACTGAAATGGCTTTTTCCCACCATACTGGGATTTAATTCTCATCTCTTCAAAGAAATGCAAAGCCTGCCCTCGTGTTTATCAAATAGGAAATTCAATGTACAGCTGAAGTCAGCAAGGATACTTACGAGCCTCTTTGTGTAGAAATTTTAAAAGGTTGTGTGTTTAGCCCAGGGTGAGTCCTTGGCCAGGACCTCTAAGCTTTTGGCTACTATCTGTCTGTGAGCTTTTTTAAAGTACACAGCCTATGACAGTCTGTGCCCTAAATCTATTAAAATGTTTCACACAGATTTTTGAAATAAGGTTATTAACCTAGTATTGCAGCTTAGCTCTTCTAAAAGAGCCTTTTTCAAGATACTCATTGAGTAGATTCTGAAAAATAATTCCATAAAAGTCTTCAATATACAGAGCAGTGCATGACAGTGGCAGTATGGTTGTACAGGATGCCATCTGCTTGGTGCTGAAATCTATGTGCAGATTATAAATAAGCCTTCAGAAAGCAATGCTTTTGGTTAGGCAGTGCTGCTGCAGGATTTGTGACTGTGTTCACAATTTCTGATGTTGAATCAAGAAAAGAAAAGGGGGTTTTATGCAGTCATTCTGAGAGTCACCTGCAGATAAACCTGTCAATTTTGTGGATAATTCTGTTTATGTTAGAAGAGAATTTAGGGAAAATGTGTTAGATCAGTAAAGCTCTATTTTTTGCTGTGGTGAAACAAGATAGTTATTCCTCTTTGTTCTTGTGCTGGCATTCTCCTCCCTCTTTCTTTTCAATCTTTACTAGGAATTTTGTGCATATCAAGGATCTCACTGAAGGGTGGTTGAATATCTGGGTTTGTGTTGCTCTAACACTTCATAATACAATGGATTTGTAATTTTTTTTCCTTCCCAATTCCAAGAATGCCAGATGGGAGATGCCACCTGTATCTGCATTTTAGCATTGCCATTAGCTATGTTTCGTGCACCATAGTCAGCAAGGAAAACTTCAGCATGTTTGGTTAACTACATTATTTGACCACATTTTAATCCATTGGGTATCACACTCCGGTTCAGTTGTAAGAATCACCAATAACAATATTAACCTGCTTCAGGTAACAAAAGCTCAGTAGTCACAAGTCAAGTAATAAAAAACAAAACCTAAGTTTTCATGTCATTGTGCTTGGATAAACTGAACTATGTCAAACTGCTTCATTTCAGGGAGGAAAAGCAGCAGCAGGTGCAAGGTAACAGTCTAGGTAATTAAAATCAGAAGGCTTCATTTCCTGACTCTTGTTTTCTTAGGTTCAGAACTGGAACAGTGAGATTCTTGCTAAACAGAAACCACTGGTTGCCAAATCTTCAGCAAAACTGCATTTTGTAAATCGACTAAAAGGCAAAAAGTACAAAACCGGCACCACTTCAAAAGTTTTGCAGGATGCCAGTAATTCTATTGATCATCGACTTCCAAACTCACAGAGGGTAGGTTTGGTGAGCTGTGAAGACCATCGCCTTTACTCACCTTTGTTTGGTCAGAATTACAGAAATTACATTCTGGCAGCTGTCCATTTCAGTGGTACTCAGTTTAAACACTGGCTTTGTAAAAGGATGCCCAATCTGCCACTCTCCAGCTGTCTCATAGGTGGTGCCAGCTTTAAGCCTTTGTTACTATTAGAACACTTTCTTTCCTGGTGGTTTTTCTAAAGTTACAGCTCAGCATGAAGGTACATTTTATTTCTAAGTCTCTCCTAGACCCTGCTTCTCTAAACTTAAAATAGTTTCTCTGATTCAGACAGCAGAGCGTATATTTGACATATTCTTAGGGTTATTGCACTCTTGACAGAAGTCAGTTAAAACTAAAAGAACAGAGTCATTTGATCTAATATGAGAAGACTGCTTTTGGCCACAGACCTGAGGAGCCAGTGGAAAGTGCTCAGTGCTGGTTTAGGGTTGTAGGTGGGTTAATGGCTTGAGGGGGTATAACTCCAGCTGTGCTGATCAGAGTACTGTTTCTTTGTGTTTCAGAGAACAAAATGTTTCTAATGTATTTTACCTTCCAAAAATGCTTGCCATATAATTAGCGTTTTCTCTGACAATAAATGTGTCTACAGGAATGGATGACTAAAAAAATTCATTTAATGCATTTCAGATATGCAAACATCAAACCTATTACTGGACTGAAACTGTGATGCAGTTGTCCCAGTTTTAGGTACTTGAGTTCAAAATACCTCTAACTCTACTTTTCTCTTCAGAAAAACAGTCGAGAGGCAATGGCAGATGAAGGGTTCTTTGATCTGCTGAGTCGTTTCCAGAGCAACAGGATGGATGATCAGAGATGCTACTTTCAGGAGAAGAACAGGTTCTCAGCTGCTTCAGTGGCAACATCCTCTACTCCACCTAAAACAATGCGAAAATGTAAATTTTTAAAAGTAAAATTCGTATCTGACTCTACTTCCTACCAAACACTATTTTAAAAAAGCATTTGAATACAAAACTTACTATGGAAAGGAAATTATTTCTAGGCTTACTTGTTTTCTTCCTTCCCCACAGCCTTTTCTACATCTCTAGTTTCACCCCACACAGATGAGTTTCTAGACCTACTCGCCAGCTCGCAGAGCCGCCGGCTCGATGACCAACGTGCCAGCTTTAGCAATCTACCTGGACTTCGTCTTAACCAGCAGAACAGTCACTCAGTCCTGGGTCATCTCATGGCTCGTAACAACAACAGGGACCTAGATGATGAGTTCTTTGATATACTGATAAAATGTCAGGTGAGGATTTGTTTTTACAATTATTTAGAATATGAGGTTTTAGAGATTTGATTTATGCATCCTGCTGTTTGGTTTCTTCACATAAGCACCTTTATTATCACATATATTATGATAATAATTGATTTGGCAGAGGAAGAACATAGATGACTAAAAATTAGGATTTTTTTTAAGTTGTTGTTTGTGTTGCTTCTTGTTGTTGTTGTGGGTTTGTTTGGTGGGATATTTTGTTTTCACATTTCCTCCCCCTTGTTTTGATTTACTAATTGTGTGTCCAGTAAGTGTAATTTTAGTATTGGTACCATGTTAATCATTTACAGTAACAAATGCTGAAAAAGTGAAGGAGCACAAGCGAGACTATTAGAACAAATATATAAAATGATTTTAAGAGGAAGTGTTTAGATCTGGCTTGTCAGGAGGGCACCTGATACTCTGGGAATCCTGGATTCTCAAAGAATTCAATATCAAAGTTTAGTGGTAATAGTGATTCTCATTCCAGTTATGTTCAGTTTAAATAACAGTTCATAGCAACTGACAAAAGTGTTGCTGTGTTTTACTTCCTGTAGAAGGAAAGGAAGACAACCATATTTTCTGTTATAGGAAACCAGAAATACCATATACCTACGCTTAAAATTATTCTTTAGGGCAAAGGATGCTTAAATCTCATTCTACACTATGACAAAGAACTAAACTGGGGGATTTATTTTCAGACAGATGGAGACAAATGGTTTGGAAGAACCACTTTACCTACACTTACACTCCTAACTTGGTAATTTCATTTGAAAAGTTTAACCTGGAAACAAAAGTTACAAAATAAATCTTTCTAATAGCCTTAAATCTGAAACCAAAAGCTTTTAGTATTTTTTCACTTACTTTTTCACTTATTTTATATATTCCTGTAACGTGTAGCTTTACTGCTTGGCCTATCTGTAGGGTTCCAGACTGGATGATCAAAGATGTGCTCCTCCCTCATCTGCAAAAGGACCAACTGTACCAGATGAGGATTTTTTCAGCCTGATTTTACGGTCACAAGCTAAGAGAATGGATGAACAAAGAGTCCATTTACCCTCAACTATAAAGGGACCAAGTTCTAGCTGAAGAAACAAACAGGCATGTACTGTACAGTAGTGTCTTAGGTATCATTTTGTTTGCTGGAAAAACATAATGTCTTCTTACAGAAGATGCAGTTAGTAGTTTTGCCCCCTTTCTAAAAATTTTTTTCGGTGAATAGCAGCAGTATCACATTTGTGACCAGTCATTGCTGCTGCTGCTTTTTAGCTGTGTCCGAGACACTGATTACTGTGTCCCTCTTGACTGCCTCTAGTCTATGAACATTATACAAATTTTCCCATCAAGGTACTGTCATTGCTGAGGTGTGGATTCTACGACTGTCTCAATCCAGTGTAAGACCTAAATTTGTCTATTCTTTTTAAAGAACACTTGATTTCTTTTTCTTTGTACCTCCCTGGAAAGAAGTCCCGTTTTCTTTTGTACTTTTTTTAAAAGATAAAAAAAATAATTGAGAAATAGCTTCAGTACTTAAATCTGTCTTTGCAAAAACAGAGTTTGGAAGAAACAATCATTTTTTATTAAATAAAAAATATTAAATCAAACTCTAGTTTTGATTGTTTAATACAAAAGGAATCTTTTCAAAACATACTGTTTTTTTGATTACATGTGGTTGTTTCCTGTATTACTAAGCTCAGTTTTACAATCAGAAGGATTTTTTAAGATATACTGAAGCAAGTACTGTTCCATCCTTTGTGTGGTACAGGCTCATCACCAGCGGCAGCCCAAGAAGTATCAGGGAATCACAGGGGTGGGAGGTGCTTGGCATTAAGTAATTGACTTTAAAATGCTACAAAGAGGAAATCTATGTATGCTGCTTTTTACTTCACCTCAGCTACTTCTACTCTCAGTAAGGATTGACCCCTTGCTGGGGCAGTTCAAGTATAGGGATTGTCAGTTACAAATCAGTGATTTTAACACCAACAGTGGCTAACTGTTCACTTCAGGTATTTTTTATTGAACTATTATACACTTGAACAAGTATCTATTGTTACTTTTAGCTTCAGAGTAAAATGTCATCCTAGGAATAGTTAAACAGATGGACTCCAGATAATGCAAACTATGTCACAATTACTGGAAGTTTTACAAACATGCTCTTGCAGCTTTTGTAGCACTAAAATTGAATCCTACTGAAACTAACACTCATGCTCCTGCTTTTAAGGAGAATTGCCAGAATATTCTTAAAAACATATGTTACCATTAGCTTATTATGCTAATCTTTGGTACTTATCTTCTAATAAACATCTGCTACAACATCACTTCTCTGCAGCTAGAAGATAATCATTAAATTGTCCTAAAACTGAGCTGACTCATTTTAAAGAATATAAAACAAAAGATAGTCCTGAGACATTTGAGCTGTGATTTGTCTTATGTGAGTTACATAAATATCAGCAGCTTCCTTCAGATCATGTGACAGTAACCTGATGAGACTTACGGTTGCTAGACCACAATATCAGTGCTTTTCCACCACTGTCTGGTTTTCCTCAAAACTTATTAACACAGATTTCATTTCAAACAATCAGCAACACTCCACAAGCCTGTTTTCTTGGCCATTTAAAGTTGTATTATCTTATTTAATGCATGTATTCCAAATTACAGAAGCAGGACCTATACTCAGTCTCTGTTTTTAACCCCTCACCTTAGAGCTGTGCATACCAATACTCTGACCAACAAGAAGGTCCCATCAGCATACTGATGTTCTTTTCTACTTTTGAGAACTCCAGAAGAACAAACAGAAGTTTCTGACAACTAAAGATTAGAGAAAACTTACAGCAGAGCTCAGGCTTCCTCAGTCTCCCTCCTGTGAGTCACGTGAGCTGCTCTTTGTCTTCTCTTCACACAGTTCCATTGCAGAATTCCTTTGTTTGAGGTTTCTACTAGGATCACAGTTTTCTCCCACCTCTTGCTGTGCTTTAGCTGGCTCCTGTTTCTGCTGCTCAGGTGCAGGTTCTTCAGTGTGGTTTTCAGCTGTGGTAGTTTCTAGTCTACAAACTTCAGACTCCGTGCACAATCTATTCTGTAAAAATTAATAGTAAGCTATTAATCAAGTAATCCAAAGCGACAGCATCTATCGTTTCAGGTGCAGCTTGGCTCAAGGGGCAGAAATCCCCCAAAAGGTGTCTGGTCTTGTTATTTCCTGGGGAACAGTACATGTAAATAAGCACCATTTAGAGCACAAGGCTGGCTTTAATTTTCTGTAGTGTACAGAACAGTCAGCAGTGCCTTTTTTCCACCACCTTTCTTCTGTGGGGAATCATTATTGCCCCTAAGTACCAATCTCTCAAACAGAAGTTACTTCTTTAAAGAAATCTTAATTCAGTAGTTTCCTGCCATGGTTAGCCATTGCAGGGTATTTTTCCAGAAAAAAACATGCCCAATACACCTCCACCAAACAGTTCTATGGGGGTACAGGCACGATTTGGGTGTTAAGCTTGTTGCTTAAACGTTCTAACAGATGACACTGAAATCTATTAAATTACATCCAGGTCAAAGAACACCAGGCCTAACATACATGAGGTTCTGGTTTGTGAGACTCTTCTACTTGCATATGTTGCTTATTGCCTGTATGCACAACATCAGGACTTCTTCCATTTTCTGGTCTCAGAGAAGTGTCTTCCCTGTCACAAGGTCCTCTAGAAACATAAAGAGGCTTCTTCGAATAACAGCCATCTCCTTTGCTCCCATCGTACTGCCCAAAGTCTATCTTGTCCTGTTGATGGTCAGGTGGAAGAGGACTTCTCTTCTGAGAAGATGTTAAGTATCTTAACATAGATACTGATGATCCTGCGCCATAGCAGAAAACCTGGGGGAGGGAAGAAGAGGAATAAAATGTCAAAGATTTGCAGCTTCCAGTTGGAAGGAAATTCCAAGTCAAATATGCTGCACAGTAGAGACAAGCTTGCTGCAGTCTGAGCACACTCAGACACTGAGTTCATCCCCAGTGTTACACTAAAGATGCTGAAAGCTCTAACTTGATGCTTTTTATGTACAAAGCACCAATTACATACATCACTGTTTAATGACACGAAGAAACAGGAACTAAGCTGCAATGAACTGTCATAGAGTCTTAAGATTTTAAGCAGTTTAATGCTATTTTATCCCATTTGGGGAGTGGAGGAGAGATGTGGTTTTTAAATACAAACTTACCTATTCTAATTGCTAAACCAACTGTACTAGAAAGACTTTGTCAAGAAACAGTTCCCCTGTAGAAATTATTTTATGTGTGCTATAAAATATCTTAGTAGTACAAGTAAGAAATAATATAAAATTATACTTAATATATAAAAAATAAAACTTTAAAATATTAGATAAATGTATACAAACCAGGACAGCCAGAGCCATAATAATTAGCACTGGAATCTGCAGGAAAAAAGGGATCTCCTTCATAACTGCTTTGATGAATTCACCAATACCTTGTCCTACGTGCTTCAAAGGCTCTGTTACAAAGTTGGTGAAAGTAATTGCCAGTGCCTACAAAAACACAGACAAAACAGCCATTGTTGACACCGAGGACAAACAGGAAGGTAAACAGTCTCTATGGGCTGGGCATACACCATACCTTGGTGGGTGGAACCAGCAAAACGGGATTGACGAGTAGAGTTTCATAGTACTTCTGACAAGGATCGTCCTGAAAGGTCCATTTACTTCTGAGCCATTCTGTAGCCAAAGCAGAGACTTGGTTTTACTACTTCAAACAGTAATTTTTTATGACAGAGCCATAATACAGAAAGTAGCATTTCAATTACAGATGAAAGGAAATCCCTCCTCTAGATATCGTTCAAAGCTTGGGTTTGTTTTTAAAAGTCTCTGATTAACACTGCAGTGCAGTTTATCCAGTCATGAGGATGCGGGCAGGAGAGGAAAGGCTGGAAAGAAAGAGAAGAGACTTAATTTTCTTGACTAAGACATGGGAGAGCCTTTCTTAATTAGAGGAAATCAGTCCTAGAAGCTTCAGAATAAACATGTCTTGTCTGTGGGAACTATTATCGAGCACATCTTGTCCACAGCCACTGCAACAGAAGTGCCAAGCTGCACATAGATCAAAATGTGTATTTTGCTTGCAAGATTTCAAGGGACTATTTTAGTTATAAGCATAAAGTCTTACTCCTTAAGGGAACTTCTAAGGTAAAAAACGGTAATTTATGACATCAGTGTTTCTGTAGTTTGATTTCAGTGCAGTCTGACCATAAGCCACTGAAATTTGACATAAACAGAATGATCATTGGCAATAAGTTATAGAGGGAAGACCATAACAAGCGCTCATTAAGAGTTCCCATCACTAACTTACCTGCTATAGCACTGGTAACAAATAATGGCTAACAAAATACTCAGCTTTCTTTTAAATTAACACCACCAGAGTACATTGTTACAGGTCCATTGTACACGCCTGGCAGGTGAAGAATCAAAATCTTTTTCTTCAATTCTGCCCTTCTCTCTCTTGAGTAAATGGCACTGGGTGGTCCTGGGGGAGGGGAGCTCGGAAATACGGTCTAAGTTATAAGGAAAAGAAGTAACACCATGACATGCTCCTAGCACAGTTTTGTGATCAGGTCTCCTCCAAAGGCCTAGAAAAGAAAGTCTTGTGGAATGGAAAAATGGAAAAGCCATGTACTAATCATAGACTGGTTTGGGTTGGAAAGGACCTTAAAGATCATCTAGTTCCACCCCCCTTGTCATGGCAAGGACTCAGACTAGGCTAGGCTGCTCAAAGCCCCATCCAACATGGCCCTGAACATTTCCAGGAATGGAGCAGCCAATACCTTCCTGGTCAACCTGTGCCAGTGCCTCACCACCCTCAGAGGGTAGAATCGCTTCCTTATATCTAATCTAAACCTATCCTCTGTCAGTTTAGATCATGTATCACTGAAAAAAATTCAATGTCCTACCCATGAAGAAATTGTGAGTATTCTTGGATACTGTTACCAAATATTTCACAATCTTAAATACAATTACAAAACACTGAAGCAAGTATTTACCAATCAGACTTTCCTTCCAGTTGAGCTTCTCAGCACAGACATTATCAAACTGCCCCATTTTTGCGATTTCTGCTTGGTGTTGTGCAAAGGCCAGCTGTGGGAGAACAGGAATTGCTTATGAAACAACACGCAATGGTGCGGGGTGCAGCACTGCTCCTGAGCTAGTGACCTTTGTGGTAATCACCCAGGTCAATCTGTGTGAAGAAAAGCCTGCTACCTAAACAATTTTAGAGAGTTAAAAACTAAGTACTTCCTGGAAATGGATACAAAATAACAGGATGGCTACTTCCAAGTTACCCTCCAAATGGAGGCTGAATTACCAAAAGACCGAACTCCAGTATTCAAAGATACCAGTTCAGGGCAAAAGTAATCATACAGTGGTTTGGGTTGGGAAGGGCCTTAAGATCATGTAGTTCCAACCCCCCTGCTATGGGCAGGGACGCCTCACACTAGACCACGTCACCCAAGGCTTTGTCCAACCTGGCAAATCTGACAACATCTTGATTCCTTCAGATGTTTTTGAATTAAAAGCAGAAAACCCTCCCTGCAATTACCAATTAAAACATCAGGACAGCCCGTTTTTGTTTTTAAAGTAATTCCTGTTAACAGATACCTCTAGTCATTATTTTTCTGCCTTACAGTTTGCAACTGATAATCAAATAGAAAAAATTAAATCATCTGTTCAAAATCTCAGACATTCTTCATCAACTCATTCCGCCTGTGTTCAAGAGCCATCCCACCCTCGGGCACCCACTGCTCCTGGGCCTGACAGGCTGCAGTTACATCCTGATGGCAGAATACGAGGACCAAGATTTTGTGGCTGGACTACAACCTCATAGCACAAATTCTGCCTCATCAAAACCACCAGACAGTAAGCCACCTGATCATCAGTAATGAAACATTTATCTCTGGCCTGTCACACGTTAAATACAGTTTCAGCCAGAGGGTCTTTAGAAAGATACACAACCCCACAACCTATTTCTGTAAGACTTTTCTACCAAGCTGTGTTAGCCGAGTTCAGTCTCCCCTGCCCACACAGCAGTCACAGAAGCACCACTGTACGAGTTCTCTGCCCCCCTGTGGCAGGATGAAAGCCAGCAGCGTTTCATTTGTTTAAGCCCAATATACCTGGAAATATCCAAGATCCCTCTATCTATTTTGCTGTCAATTACTGCTTTATATAAACTAACTCAAGGAACTAAATAACCTTAACTCCCTCATAACTGTAACATTTTAAGCCTAAAAGCCATTCAGATTTCAAACAACTTACCTTATACAAATAAAGCCAATTCCATGCAAAACTGATGAGGAAACTTATTAATAGTACTCGTTTCAGCTGAACAAACCAATGAATACGTGTCCAGAGCTCTGTAGCTATTACAGTCACAATACACACTAAGCACAACAGTATCTGAAAAATAAAAGATGAAGAAAAATTCTGATGTGGGGCTGGAATTTTCCAAGCTTACTGCCAGTACACAGGAGGGATCTTCCAGCTTTTGCTTTACCAGCATCATTTCATGGAACAACTGACACACAGTTTTTCCATGCTTTCACAGCAGACCAGCAGCAGTACAAGGCAGAAATGTTCCATGGTGTTACTGGCAGTCATTCCTACCAAGGCCTGATGGTGCAGTTGCTCATTTCTTTCTTGTGGTATTTAGTTATTTCTTCCTTACAGTATTTATCATGTTACCTACCATACTTAAACTATAGCATTGGCATAATTCAGTATTGAGTAGTATGTGCCTGGTATGAACCACAGAACCACTGCTGCCAGCTCCTGCAGTCTGGTTAAGAGCAAACCGGTTAACAGCAGCAGGACTTCAGTGGAGCCCTTCAGTCCCCTTCCATCTGAGGAGCCCCAACAGCGAGGTTATGCTACTCACAGCTTGCTTTCTTCATTTGGCTTCCGTGGACCTCCCTCAGAACTAGACAGGCTACTGTCAAGATTACATGGGCATCAAGCGTTAGCACATTCTGCACTGTAAAGATTTATTCAGAGAGCTTCAGCTTATTGGGGATCCTCAGCCCAGCACTCTAAATCCATTTTAGAGAATACAGCATCACACAGAGCCATGCTCTTCTCCTCTCCAACACTATATAATTTTTTCCCCCCAGAATTCAAAAAACCCCATGACCTTTAATACCTCAAATACGTACTTCTCTCAATATAAATATATTCCCACTCCTGCAGAGGCCAACAACTTCAGCATCTATTTGAACAGGAGACAAATCAGGGAAATTTATAATGCATGAGTTGCAGTCTAAGTGCTAAGAAAGCACTGGAGTCTACTCGAGCACCACAGACTCCCAGAGTCTAATGAGTCTTACAAAGGGATACAAAAGGCATACAAAAGGTGACTACCTCACATCTACCTTCAGCAACCATGAAACAAGAGTGACGCATTCAAAGTACGGTGGGAAGAACCACTGCAGCTGTCAATATTCATTGACCAGACTTGCACAAAGAAACCAGTAATTTAAAAACCCACAAAACAAAAATCTTTTTCTCTTACCAGAAACATATTATATAGCTCTATTCCAAAAGTGTCTTCAAATCTCCAGTGCCAAGCTTTATAATCATGGTTCTTAAAATTGATCAAAATGTCACTAAGTGCATCATCTACAGCACCCGACTGCCACGTTTCCTCCTGCAGAAACCGGAGGATCTCCAAATACGTCTGTTTTGTAAGGATGATCTCAGCATCATAATGGACATGGTCCACGTTTTCCTCAGGCTGAATTAAAAGCAAAGCAAAACAGTGTTTAAAAGCTACTAGAAATACAGATGAAAGCCTGCATCCCTAGGCAAAAACCTGCTTAGGTGCCCTTCGCTCTGCACCAGCACCTTTTTGAAATAGACTGCAGGATGAAGACATGGGACAGGGAGCACACTGTTTCCAGAACTTAATTGTTCATTGTTCTAAAGTACATAGAGCACAAATTCCGCTGCTTTGTGTCCTTTCAACTCGACAGCAAAAACCCAAAAAATTCAGTGAGATCTCACCTGTTATTACAATTTTAGAACTACTGCTCATGAACAAGTGGTAACTATGAATGTGCCGTGTGTGCCCCCATCATGGCTGGGCAACACACATAGAAGCTATTAAATACTGAAATAACAAGTTTTATACTGCCAAGTAGCATGTTCTTTGTTAAATGCTAATTTTGCTATTGCCAAAAATATATTCCTGCACCTCTGAATAGAAGAAAAAAAAAACAACAGAAAAAAAACAAAAAAAAAGTAAAAAAAAAAAAAGAAGAAAAAAAAAAAAAAGTACAGAATGGTTTGGGTTGGAAAGGACCTTAAGTTTACCCAGGTACAACCCCCTGCCATAGGCAGGAATGCCTCACACTACACCAGGTTGCTCCAAGCCCCATCCAACCTGGCCTTCAACACTGCCAAGGATGGGGCAGCCACAGCTTCTCTGTGCAAAAGAGACTATTATATTGTCTTCAATTATATAGTCTGTCTTTATTATATTATTTCCTTATTATATTATTGTCTGTCTTAATTATATTGTCTTTTATTTTATTAAGGCAGACATACAATAATGTAACCATATAATAGACTGTATAATCAAAGACAATATAAGAAGGTAGTAACATGATTCTTCTACGCCAACTCTAGTAAGCTGCTATTCCAAGATGCTTAATGAGGTAGAGTCTGAAACCAAGGTCACCTAAAGGGTCTACAAACAAACAAGACCTGTCTCTTCCCAGTTTAACAACCATTAATGTGAACTGAACAGGGTATGACCAGAGCTGCATCACAGGAACAGACTGAGATACAAGACTGAATTCCTATAGTCTTCCTCTGGATGTTTTTTGTATCAAACCAACTGTGTCTTCTGAGCAAACACCGCTAACTCCCAGCAACATGGATGCACACACTTTTATCCTCTCTTCCTCTGCAATTCAGTTCCCTTCATTCTCATTTAAAGTACGCCAGAATAATGCATCAATACTTGGCAACTGTGAGAAACACATAAAGCAGCAATATGAACCCTAGTTAATTTTTTAATGCCAGTTCCAGTACTCACCAGGCCAAGTTTTCCAGCTTCATTTAAAATCTTATTTAAGTACCGCTTAAAAATATAAAAGCTTCTGCTTTCATGGGATTTGGCAATCCTCTTCTCACAGTCTGCAACCTGCAACGGGAAGACACTTTACTCATTTCTTCCTCAAACCAGCTTGTTCATAGGAGAAAAGAAACCCCAACCAACACATGTAACTCAGGATTAAGTGAGGCACATTAATTTAGCACTAATCCTGTGATTAGTACACCAGATAAAGAGTGCATGCAGTTATTGAAATACCACTTCCCATGGGTCTGGCCAGTACTAGAGATTTCAGCTCTGCTAACAACTGGGTTTGAATACCAACCTCAGTGAGACTAGGGGGAAAAAAAATAAATCTGGATTTCTTTAAGTTTTACGTTTACAACAGAAAAAAAAAAGAAAATTGAAAATATACTAACAACATTAAAATTACATATCCCATTGGGTCTCCAAATGGCTGAGGGAAGTGAGAGCCCCCGGTAGCTACTCAAGGATCACGGCATCCCCTTGATGTCAGAGGACAAAGCAGCATTGGGCGTCTTACAGCAGCCTCTCAGAACTGCAGTGCTGCACAAAGTGTCAGCCACAAACGTGTCTCTGTGCTCACAACCCACCCCCTAAAACACGACAGAACTGAACAACTTGGAAACAAAAAGCCAGCTTTCTTCACTTTTGGCAGCACAGGGTGACATCAACACCAGGGGACAGAGGCACATAGCTCCTATCAGCCTCTGTTACACTACACATCATTTTGGGTAACAGACATCAGTAGGCAGAGCAACAATTTAGAATTAAGTTCAAACCACCCCTAGTCTCTCCTATGATTGAAGAGAGTTCCCTTACATAATGCATGTTATTTTACAAATCACACCAGCAATTCAGCTGTTCTATACTATCCAGAGAAGCATCATCAGAAATCACAAAGTATAAAAGGCTCAAAAATACTCACAAGTTCCATACTAACCTTCTGTTGCAAAGAGTCTACTGCCCTGGAGCAACTCGATATCTCAGTACTGACTGAATTGCCAGTCTCATCCTCAGAGTTGTGGTAGTTTGCCTTAAATTACATTAGAAAAAAACGTATTTTGAGAATCGCATAACTTGATCGAAGCCCCATGTTGTGCTTCTATGGTCAGATAGATCACTTTAACAGGAGCAAAGAAGCTAAAAACTGAGCATTGGCCTTTGCTGCCAATACTGTCCCCGCAATACTCCAGCTGCCTCTACTGTTACTTCAGGCCCCTGAAGGAAAACTGCTTTATCTAAATGCACGCTGCCTGCAAAAAGTGAGGTCTTGCCCTGTCCTCCCCCACCTGCCCTTTCCCCTCCCGTGAGGGCCTCAGATTAGATAATCCCACTGGCTATAACTGACTCAGCAAGCAAAGGGGCAGCAGACACAGCCCTGGTCCAGCCAGCAAGCAAACACAAGCCCCACTCTAGGTCACGTATTCCCTTTCATGTTCCCTCTTCACCATGAAACAACCCTTTTCTTCTGTTAATTGCTCAGATTTAGCATCAGCTGAGCTGCTTCTACACAGCCAGGTATGCTCAGTGAGGAAGGGCTCCAAAGGAAGCACAACATCACACAGACCAGTGAACTCATACTGATAAAAAAACGTGGTTCTCAGGACTGGAGTGGCCACACACCCTGACTACCTGCAATCTTGCACTGCAGAACAGAAAAGAATCCTGACAAGATGCATTAACCCAAAGCAGTCATTTTCAAAACACAGTTCTATTTCTGTGGGAGACAACAGTAAAACTCCCAATACTGTTTCTTCAAACCTGAAGCAGTTGGGAACCATGTTTAAAGATGCCAAAGCTTGCTTAGTTTTGGGGATGCAAGTGACCAGCAGGTGGACTCCTCCCAAGGGGGGAGCTCTGTGCATCAAAATAACGCAGATTTGTTTTTTAAGCTTCAGAAAATTGCACCTGAAGCATCAAAATGGTATTATTCAAAACCACAAAACCTAATTTGAAAGCTGAAAAGTGACAACAATCAAGGGTGTCTGTACAACCAACCACAGGTCACAGTGTGTGCACACAGATACTGGATAAACAACACGCATCTTACATACATCCCTCATACAAGACAACCAAGACAGCTCTCCTTGTTAAAACTAGCTTTTCATACTTCATCATCTCCTCAATGTTCATGAATTATTAACAACATAGCACTTAGTCTCTGTTTTGACATTCCTTCTGAAAGCTCTGATGCCCAGCATCACAAACCACCACTGACCACAATAGTCTCATAAAATAAACCAGGTTTATTCCCATACTGCTGGCAAACTGGATAATTCAAGTGAAATATAATCATTAACCTTGACTCCCCCGATTTTATCAGCTAGAAACTTAATTTTCCAGATATTTAACATTCTACTTGAGAAACAACAACAGCTGCTTAACCAAGTCCTTTGCACAAGAAATAACTTGCTCCAGAAATCAACTGCCAACTGTGAAGACAAAAGACCCAGCCCTGTGGCTTCATCAGTGCCACAGCAACTCCTCAGGAGAAGAGCTCATGATCCACAATAACAGAGATATCTAGTTTTCAACCTTTCAATTTAAACAATGGGAACACAACACTCTTCTGCATGAAAGTTCAGATGCAATCTTGTAAGACTTCAAAAAGGCCATGATTCTACTGATTTCTAATGCCATGATTTAAGGCCAATCTTCCAACAGCGTGTGGCTGAAGGACTGTTTGGCAGAGACAGACACATATGTACTCATGCACCCTTTCTTTTTCTACCTTGTAAGGTCTCATTTTTCCTGATGCTGCATCGTAGTTGAGCATATCCGTGGGGTCAATCCATTCATCGTCTTGAACTTTACTGCTCCCTGCTAGCACAACTGCACACAGCACCAAGGCAAACAGCATCCTGTATCACTAAACAGAACACGAGAATCAGGGTGTTACGTGCTATACAAACACCTGAAACAAACTTGCAACCCAAACCCAGCATTCTCCAGTGTTGTTTAAGCAAGTTGTCCATCGAGCTTGCTAAACGTCAACTTACACGTTGCTCTTCCCCAAAGAAAACGGTCAGGAACGTGCAGCAATGGAGCTGTACCGTATGACTGCATCAATACCGCTGTCTGCAGCGCTGCTAAGCACGATAAACCCGCGCAGAGCTCCTCCGGGCTTCCCGACGAGGCTGCAGCTCCGCTGTCACTGCATGTTCCCCGGCAGGACTCGCAGGGGACATGAGAGCATTCCTGCCCTGCCCGCTCGGCGCTGCTCCCGCAGGCCCGAGGCCGCCCTCAAGGCGGGGAAGCCGCGAAGGGCCGTAAGCGCTGACACAGCTTAAACAGGGACCCCCCGTACTCCTTCCTCTCCTTCGCTTCGGCCTCGTCTCCCCGGTTCACCACCGCCGCGGCCTGAGCAGCCACCGGCCCTGTCCCCGGCTCCGCCCCGCCCGCTCACCGCCACAACCGCGCCGCTCCAGGCCGCTGCTGCCGGGGAGGGGCCCCGCGCTACTCCCGGCCCCTTCCGCCTGCGTGCCCGCGGCAGCCGCCGCTCTCCTCAGCCCCGGCACCGCCCCGAGGCTCCGGGGGGCGCCGCTGTCGAGGTAGCGGGGCCTTCGCGACGCTCCGGCCCTCAGGCGTTCGGAGGGACGGCCCCGCCTCACCGCAGGCCGGGCGGGCAGCAGCTGCGCGGGTGCGAGCGGGAGCTGTTTGGAGATAACAATTATCAACGGGAGGAGCCGCAGCCGCGGGCGGGAGGGAAGAGCCGCTGCAGGGGGGGAAGGCAGAGCGGACCGGGCCCAGAACCACACATGGGAGAGGCGGGCACAGAACGGCAGCGAGCACAGCTCAGCACCGCCCCTGCTCCCCCTGTACGGGGTTGGGTTTCGGTGCCCACGCAGCAAGTCACCCCTTCGGTGAACACAGGCAAGGGCGGCGAGTTCCCACCGAAGCACAGCCCAGACCCAGCGCAAGAGGCGGGGACAGAAAGCGCACAAACGAGATCTGCTCCGTAAAGACCCGAGGGACAATAAAATTCATCTAAGGAAATGAGTATTTAAATATTTGTAGCGCTCATTAGAAACAGTCTGCCAGCTTTGGCCACAGTGGACAGCTGGAGGAATACAAGTCAGACACAGCATCTCCCTCCAAAGCATCATTAACACCTTAAAAGTGTCCAGTACACAGAAATACACATTTTCAGCTCTGTGCTACTGTATCATTACTAACCACAGTTCAAAGTCATGTACTTTGACGCAGGATCCATGACCTGAAGTCTTCTCTACTTCCCTGCATAAACCATACCTAAAAAAAACCATTTTAAGTATCACAGCTACACTGAGGAATTACAAACCAACAACCCGAAACAGCAGAGGAGGCAACTGCAGGTGTTGGAGGTCTTTATTGAGATTATAGCACAGATACACTTCTATAGTTACCTTTCCACTTTTATACGATAGTTAAAAATGCTTGCTACAGTGCACATATAACTTAGTAACCAAGAGAACCCAAAACTTAACTGCAGGTCAAATAAATAAATAACCTAAGGTTGAAGTTTATATTTTTAAAAGTAAAAGGAACTGTACAATATGAAAATATAACAAAACATAAACATTAGAATCTAAAGTTTTGTAGAAATAAAACCACCATTTCCCATACATAAACAGTGCAAGAAATAAAATTCAGATAAGCTTCTGAACTGGGAATTTAAACAAGTCTTAAATTATCATGCAGACATAGCATTTTAAGCCATGCTGGTTTCTATTATAGCATTAATGGTATCCCTTTTACTTGAAAAACTGATAGCCATTAAGCTCACTGTGACAACTGCTGCCAATTCACTCTTTTCTACAGTACATTATACACAGAGGTATTCTGTTGCATTCAAAAAGTAAAATATATGTTTCTAAAGAAACAAATAGGAAAACCCCCAAATTGATATTTTACTTTTCCCAACACATTAGCTTGCTCAGAACAATGTCATGTAGTAAAAACAGCAACATTTCCCCCAGTCTAGACGAAAAGAAAGTAAACCCCCACACTATGTACCAGACCGTCATCAAGATGCAGTTACTGCCTAGTCACTGTTGAAGTTCAGAATTCATCACTAAAAACGTTGAAGTTGTGGAGATGTTATAAAGTTTGAATCTTGAGGAGTGCTGAATACAATAAATCTGAAAAAACAGTGGTAGCAATTCATGTTTTACGTGTGTGTGTGTGTGTGTAACTAGTTACATACAGACTTAAGTGTTGTCCAACGCCAGTTTCTATATAAAACTCTCATCGAGGCAAAGACCAAGGAATGCAATTAATACCAAACTGTAAACACATCATTCAGGTTAGAGTGCACATCGACAACGGAAGAGTTCTCCTCATAGACTTTGGCAACAAGACTACAATAGGTCACAGCAGCATGAGTTCACATGGAAGACTGAAAGCACTGCAAAAGAATATACAAAAAACACCAAGACCTCCTAGAAACCAGAGAAATCTGTGACAAGCACCCCTCCTCTCGGTAAGACACTCTCCTGCTCAACTGCTGCTCTCCCAATGCCTAATTATTATTACTTGGTTTTTACAGTTCTGTAGTCTCAGGTCTCTGTGCTTTAGCTGCATAGGTTGCCTTTGCACTCTAGCCATTGTAGGTCCAAAGGGTTACAGTTCTGTCTGCAGAGGATGACAAGAAAGAGAGATCTTGCGTATGCCACCTGCACTGAATAACTTTGTCCTTGTGCTCTCCTACCACCATCAGAGGAAGCTGCTTCGTGAGGTCTCCTGTAGCAGAGGAACATCAATCATTAGTCATGTCATGAATTTATATCCCAGCTCTCTGTTGATGTGCCCCTCCCTTTTTGTTTTCTTTCTCCCCTCCCATTTGTTTACTAAACTGTAATATATATTTCATCTTATAAAGCATACTTTGACCCCTTTCTCTCTCTCTCACTCACACACAGAGCATAATACAAGGCCCCAGTGTTCCAGTTTTTAGGCATTACTGGACACTATATATTTAAAATACAGGAATTCACAATTTTCATACCATGTGATTAAAATCTAATGGTCCAAACCCATCAAGTTGCTAAGATGTACCCAACATCCCCTCTCTTCTCAGCTCTTCCCCCAAAAATAAGCATTATCATTCCGTTTTTCTTTTATAAAAGGTCCATTTTATGACTGCTGCCTGAAAGCAATGGCCACTTCATCAGCAAACAGTGGCAATTAGTTCTTCTCCAATATTCAAACCCCCTCCCCAAAGCAAGATTTAGCTCATAGCCCACATTCTTAGAAACACAACTTTCCAAATACCAACAGACACAATCGCATTTATATACATTTCAAACCCTTCAAAGCTCTACTCTCCTGTCCTGTTTTTACCAAAAACCTGGTATTTGAACCCAGTTCTCCTACAGCTTCAATATTAAAAATACCAAATCAGAAACTGCCCTTATGCTCTTTGCAGTACATTACCTTGCAAGTCTGTCACCTTTATTTTCATATCATACGATCCTGTGAGCAGGTAGTGTGCCCCCGGGGAGAAGCGAACAGACCGGACATCGCTGGTGTGCGGGTGGTAGCTCTGCACCATCCGTCCTCCACGAATATCATACAGCATGCAGCTGGAGTCCTCCTGCCCCGTAGCCAGGAGACGGCCACTGGGATCAACTGCTACTGAGGCTACAGCGCTTCCTATAGGAGAAAACACACATGTACAGTTGTGCAGATAGCCCTTTTCTAGTAACAATGCATTGTGAATAATTGTGTAATACTTTGTGTAGGAATACCAAATGCTGGCCTTAACCTTAAGGTGACCCTACCTATCTACTGCTATCTTAAAGTAAGACAATTTATTATGTTCTAGCACTTAAAACTCTGAAGCCATAGGTCACACCAGAAGGTAGCAAAGCCACCATTAAGTAACTGTTTTGTCAGAGGAAATATGAAATAATGTAGAAATAATGCAAGGAACTCCACATCCTCCCTCCCCCTTCCCCCAGGCCCCTGATTCCAAAAACCAAAACTGAACCCAAGTAGTTCTTAACAATCCTTTTGCAGGTTTCTAGAGAGTATGAGTAACCAGAGTAAAACTGCAGAAATGGCTGCTTCTTCTCACCCTTGCCTTTGATTCCAAAACAGTTCTGTTTTTTTTTTTTTAATGTTAATGTACTTGGAAGTGGCTGTTTTGAGTCAAGACAAAGGAAATGTGACTTAAAAGAAACAGTCACCAAACAACACAGAGTTAAAGATCTCCTCACAACTGTCTCTTAAAGCCAAACCCCCATTATGCGATGCAAAAAGCCTTCCATTCACTCTATACTACTTAGACATCTTGAAATGTATTTTTATGCAAGAATGGTCAGAAGCAGGATAGCAAAGCCTTACCTGTTCCATGAAATGTTGTTCCCACAACACGAACACAGCTTGGCACTCTCAGATCCCAGAATCTTACAGTCTTGTCTTGGGATCCAGATGCAATCATCCAGCCGCTCCACGTATAAAGTGCTAAAATATGACCTGTGAACAAGAACTTGTTTATTTCATCAAGTATCAGTAATCAAACAATGAAATATTACAGTTCTGATTCTATTTTTGCATTCAGAGATTTAACAGTGCTGTGGGAAACCTGCCTGCTGCACGACCTAAAATGCCAACAGTATAGGCAATACCCAGCTCTGCATCTTCTCTGGAATGAAGCATGTGCTCCCTCCATTAAATTAACAGCCAACATATCCAAAAACAAACACTCCCCACCTCCCCTCTAAATACTTTAAGAGCTATCTGGAGAGGGAAAAATATAGTCTTGCTAGAAAGAAAAAAAAAAAGACATAAACCCCACCAACAACAAACCAACCAACAACTTCATTATAATGTAATACAGACTTTCAAAGTGCTCAAGAGAAGTGACAACATACATACCAGTGTGGCCACTTAGAGCATGTAGGCCCTGTCCTCGCTGACAGTCTGTTGTGTAAATATTACAGTCTCCTGCTCCAGCACTTATTAAAATAGCACCACCGCTTTCTGGGCCTTCCATAAAAGCAAGGTCTCTGATTGTCCCATCATGCATGCTGAACTCCAAATCTGGTCCTAAACTCATTTAAAAAGCAAGGAACAAAATGTTTATCACTGTTGGTGCTGCAATCTTTAAAGTAGCTACAAAGGTAATGCAAACTGTTTTAGGCAGGGGTGGGTATACTACCAAGTAAAAATATTGTTGCGTACTTTCCATACAATACTAGAGTTTTATACACTTTCCATAGTTACTAGAGTTCAAATAAAATGTTTCAGGATCTTATTTCCAAGTGTTGCTTGAGCTTCCTACAGTTCTTAAAGCTCAAGCAAAATGTACATAGGCTGTCTCCACAGCCAATTCCAGCCATGGTTTACATTTATTTCTTTCTCTAAGCAGCGGTAAACTAAAAGGGCTTTCTCTACCATGAGGGAAGGAGCATTGAGAACCCTGAACCACATGGGACAAGACAGCTTCAATTCACAACATTAAAGATAAGAGCCATATTCAGCATATTCATTAGGAGGGTTGGGCAAAGAAAATAGTATTTGCTGGGAGAGAAGTCTTCAACTTTCAAGATGGGGGAAAAG